ACTCAAAACCCCCCCAAGCCCAGAAACCCCTAAACCCTTGAACCCTAAACCCCTAAACCCTAAACCCTAAACCCCTAAACCCTTAAACCCTAAACCCTTAAACCTTAAACCCTAAACCCCAACCCAACAACAAAACCGGCCTCAGGTGGTTGGCTTCTTCTTCACGGCTCTGCGGATCTTCCCTCATCAAAGCTTCCGCTTGAATGCATCTATCGTTTTCTTGCGGCTCGGTCTGTTTTTTGGGGGAGGGGGGGGGGGGGGNNTGAGCCCCTGATCCCTAAACCCCTAAACCCGAAACCCTCCGTCTTCAGCTTTCTGGAGAGAGGAGAAGCCCGAACCTGCTCCGGTCTGCGACCGAGACCCTATCTTCTTGCCACCCGGGTTTAGGGTTTAGGGTCTAGGGTTAGTGCCATGTTTGTGGCAGTTAGAGTGGAGGTTTTGGGTGCTGGAGAGCTTGAACTTGAAGTTTCGAGCTTGCAAGCAGGATCATGAGGGGACCAGCTGAAGCAGGCAGTTCGCGGCGGGGTAAGTAAGACAAATCCAAAAAAACACTTGCAACTCCACGTTTGGCCAAGATGGCGGGTTTGAAGCTCGCCCGAATCCGAAAACAGCCTATCCTGATTTGCCTCTGCAAGTCCTTAAGGAAGGTAGATTTGCTTGTTGGGGGGTTACCCTAAACCCTAAACCCTAAACCCTAAACCCTAAACCGTCGGGGTGTAGAGCTGGTGGGGATTTGGGGTTCTAGACGGATAAGATCTTCGTTCCAAGGAAGGGTGGGGCCGAGGCATGCTTCCGAACATCTTCGGGTTGAGGGTTTAGGGTTGAGGGTTTAGGGTTTAGGGTTTAGGGTTTCTTAGTTAGGCAAGAAACCTTAAACTCGTGTAAGATCAGCAATCTGATGTGATCGACAACACGGTTCAGGAACGTAGCAGCAGACACTGCTCCGGAAACTCATCGACGGCACTACCACAGCACTGCAGCCTCCTCGCCCAGGACGACGCCCGACTCGGGCACCCAGACGTGACCCAGGACTTGCGGACCATTCTTGTTCAGCCACGGCACCTCAAGCAGATCTGTATTATCATTTGCTGCCTTTGCATTCTCAACATTCCGGTGCCAGCAAGGTGCCAAGTCAGCGAGCGTGAGAGCAGGTGACTTCGGAAACTCGAAGATCACCATGTTGCGCTTGATGACATCAGTCGAGCACACTGCGCTACGCTTGAGGTGGTGCTTCTCTTCCAGGGGGCTGAGAGGGTGGGAATCCACACCAGAACTAAGAAAAAATGGCTTCGATCAAGCGGACCCTCTTGTCCTTTGGAAGAGGTTTGTAATGGGGGTTCAATGGTTTAGGGTTTTGGGTCTTGGGCATTAGGGTTTCAGAGGTCTAGGGTTTGAGGGTTTGAGGTTCTAGGGCCTTTAGGGTCAATTAGGGCTATACGGTTAAGGTTTACACCTCCAACCCTCACTCCTCTCTGGGTAGAAGCCAGAAGGATGGAAAATCAATGTCCTTATGCCCTTGAAGGTGAAGCATAGGGAATCCCAGCATGAATCATCCCTAAGCCCTAAACCCGAAAACCCCAAATCCCCTTAAACCCTAAAACCCTAAACCCTAAACTTTCCTAAACGCGAAAACCCCAAATCCCCTAAACCCTAAACCCGAAAGACCCTGAAGCCCTAAACCCTAAACTGGGGTTCACTATTAAAGTTTAGGGTTTGGGGCTTTGGGTCGGAAAGCAGAAACTGAGTCAGTTAAGCAGTCGCCTGCCAAGGAAGACCCCAAGAGAAACCCTGAACCTTGGGGGGCGTAGGTTTAGGGTTTAGGGTTAAATCCTACACCCTGAACCCAAAGCCCTAAAACCTCAATCCTAAACCCTGAACCCTAAGCCCTAAACCCTATCTATACTGTAGCCGAAGAAATCTAGCTTTTTAGAGTGCTTTATCCTGCTTTCTATATACACCTCCATAAAACAGTAAGGTTTCTTGGGCCATAGGTAGACCCTAAACCCCAAACCCTAAATCCTACACCCTAAACCCCAAGCCCCAAAACCTCAATCCTAAACCCTAAACCCCGAAGCCCTACACCCTATCTATAGACCCTAAATGCCAACCCCTAAATCCCCAAAATCACAGCCCACTGGCCTGGGCCCAGTAGTGGGTGGAACCAAATCTGGTGGAGACGCATCTTTGGCCTGGCGAGGCTACCCGGCTGCCCTATATAAAAGGAAACTACAGGTGGGGAGTTTCGGGTATTAAGGCTTCCATAAGGTATATAGACCTTCTATAGGACTCCTATAACGGTAACTACCCACCTGAAAATGTCCTAGACTATAGACCCCCAGCAAACATTTCAGGGCTTAGGGGCTTTATTTAGGGTTTAGGGTCTAGGGGTCTAGGGGTTTAGGGGTTTAGGGGTTTAGGGGTTTAGGGGTTGAGGGTTTAGGGGTTTAGGGTGAACCCCATCCTACATAACGGTTCTGCAATGTTTGCTTAACATTTGTTTCGTGAGGTGAAGTCTTTGGAAGGTGAGGAGGTTGGGCTTCGAAGGCTTATGTGGTAAGCCTGGTAAGGTTCAGGAATTACCTAGAACCCCCAACCGTACCTTGTATTACTATACCCCGAAATAAGCCACTGTTAAGGGCTATGAGGGCTCTATCGAAGGGCATTGGGGGAGGACGCGGGTACTGGACACCACAGTTTAAATCGAAACTTGCTGCATCGTTCCGAGGACTTGTGTCTTGTATGTGGTGTTGTTAAGAATACATACCCTAAACCCTAAACTCTAAACCGCAAACCCCAAACCCCAAACCCTAAACCCTAAACCATAACAAGTAGACACGCGTGAGGATCAGGGCTTCGTGTCCTCTTTAGGCTATTCAAGAGCACGGTTGCTTTTTTGATGCTGTACATCCCTATCCCAGAGGGTCCATATATACTACCGTTATGAAATTGGGCCCGAAAAGACAATCCTCCCTATGGTTTTGGGAATTCCATAATTTTATATATGGACCCTCCAAGCCCCCGAGGCCTCCGGACTCTTCGTACCAGACTCGCTGGGCACCTGCAGGGTGACTGCTTATGCTTAGGGTTTAGGGTTAGTAGCATTAGTAGGGGCGTTTAAGTTTTAGGGATTCAGGGGTTTTAGGGTTGAGGGTTTAGGGCTCAGGGTGTTTATGGTTGTGCTTCTTTGTGAGCTGATTTTGTTACATAACTATTGTTTTGCGCTTGTTGAGAAACAAAGTTTCTGATTTTAGACTTGGGGCTCGCCCTGACGAATCGAAGAATCTAGGGACTTATTAAGTAGGTTATAAGAGGGTTTAGGGTTTAGGGTTTAAAGTAATGAAGATGATCCAAGCTGTTAGGGGACATATGACTCTACTTAGAACCTGAAACACATGATCCTTCAAGCAACTATTTACTTGCATCCACGGGTCTGGATGTGCATCTGAAAGTGATGCGAATGTTGAAGGGGTCAGAGCAGTTTATAACTGTAGTTCTCCACCAGATAGCCAGGAATAGACACGTACCCTAAGCCCAGCAAGCCAGCTAGCTGAGGGACCGATTTCAAATTTTCATTTCGCAGAGCCGCTCGAATTTACGCCGCGGCATGCTGCTCAAGTCGGAGCACCGCCAGGCAGTTACTTGGCTACCCAAGTAGCGTTGGATGGACTGTCATCTTCTGTAGTGCATCCATGTCTGTCACCGCCAGGCCACGGAGCTCGGTCACAAGCAACGTCCTATCTGCGTTCAGCTCCTCCTCGTTCCGTCTCCTCCTCCGCTTTGGTCTGCGAGGTCGGGTTGTAGTGTGTTGACTCTTCGTCAATCCAGAAGGAGCCGCATCAGCTCCGCTGTGTCCGTAAAATTGGTGTATGGCACCCAGACCTTCGGGGCAAAGAACTCCTCCGCATATCCCCACCAAGACCACCAGCGCCACCGTGGATGAGGTCAGCCCTATGTGCGCTATCTTCTCCACCATGTTGGCATAGTCTTCCCTTCTCGTTCCACACGTCCTCTGCAACTGTTTGTATACCTCAGCAGAGTTGCGGTCACCAGGGATGCCTTGTACCATGGGCAGGGCTCCTCAAACAGACCAAATGTTTGCAGGGGACACCCCGAAGACCAGCACCTGCAGCACACCCCATCAGACCCCGGAGGCGAGTCGGCGCTTCAAGAATCATCAGCGATTCGGTTTTGGGGTTTAGGGTTTAGGGTTTAGGGTTTAGGGTTTAGCCTCCAGCCCGATTAGTTGCATACTCACATTCGGACCATTAGGCCTCATTAACATAACCCAAAGGGTCCTAAGCTCCCATATAAAAGGGGACACGTACCCAAACTATGATGATTAGCAATTCCTACTATTGAAGCCTTGCTTTCTACATCTTTCTAAGATGTAGGTACTTAAGACCCCTCCTGTAATAGAGAACCTGAGCAACTCTGCTGAGGGCATCCATAGTTGGGCCAAGAACAATCTTTCGAATCAGAAACCCAGACCTAAACCCTAAACCCCGAGTCCTGCTGCAAGCTTAGCTCGGTAGCACTATGCACTATGGGGTTTGGGCTCTCAGGGGTTTTGGGAGGGTTCTGCAAATTCGAGTCCACTACCCATATACCACTTAAGAGGAGCCCTTAAAGCAACCCTTACAGTATACTTCGAGGAACCGAACCCTTAAGAAGAACCCTGATAGCATACTTAGAGGAACCCTTCGAAGAACCTTACAGTATACTCAGAGGAATCCTTACGAAGAACCCTTACAGTATACTTAGAGGAAACTTTAGAAGGACCCTTATCTTATACTTCAAGGAACCCTTAAACGAACACTTACAGTATATTTAACTAGAGGAACCCTTAGAAGAATCCTGATAGCATACTTCGAGGAACCCTTGGAAGAGCCTTACGGTGCACTTCGAGGAACCCTTCATCGAACCCTTCACCGAACTCTTGCATTATACTTAGAGGAACCCCAAGAACAACCCTGATCGTATACGAAGAGGAACCTTCAGGGGAAGCCGTTCACCTAAACCCAAACCCTTAGACCCTCCCTAAACCCTGCACCCTAAATCCCTAAACCCTCCCTGAACCTTAAACCCTGAACCTTGAACCCTAGTGAAGAACCCTAAACCCTAAACCTTCTTTAATCTTCCCGAAGCCCTAAACCCTCTATCTCAAAACATGTGAGGCCAGCACAGGCAGTTCTGGCTCGGTAGCGTCGCTAGGCCGCCCCTGCGGCTTCAAAGTTTTAAAATGGGTTCTCTTAAGGATGGGTTTAGGGTTTAGGGTTTAAGTTTGGGGTTTAGGGGTTAGGGTTTCCTTTCGAAATTTAAATGGGTTCCCATAAGGAAGGGTTTCGGGTTTAGGGTTGAGGGTCTCTTCAGAAATTTAAATGGGTTCCCCTTAAGTTAAGGAAGGGTTCACACTACCACTACTCGGGTCTAGGGTTCGGGGTGTAGGACCGCTTTCAGGTTTTGAAGGGGTTCACTTAAGAAGTCCTTGAAGGGTTCTAACGGGAATGCCTGCTTGGAGATTAAGCTTAAGGATTAGGTTTCGGGTTTTTTCGGTTCATCTGTGCAACCCGATCACTGTGGGGGTTATTATTTAATACCCACGGATCTTGTAAGGTTCCGGGCTACAGGTAGTACGGTGTAGTACGGGCATTGAGGGTAGATCGAGGCATGACGGGCCTAGGCTCAGGATAGGGTTTGATTGGGTCCTGAAGCTGAGGCATACCTTAAGCTACCAAACCCTACTTTTCTGTAGGTTCTTATTATAAACCCTAATATGGAATTTATAGGGACCCTAAAAAAATAGGTTTTGGTAGGTTAAGGCAGGGTGTCCACAGTTCAAAGAAAACGGCTCAGGGTTGAGAGTTGAGAGCTGATCCCCAAAACCGCAGTCCCTGAACCCTTAGGTCCGCAGGCACGATGAACTGCATGGGAAACAATCACAGGGTTTCGGCATTTTGGGTTCTGGTGTTGAAAGTTTCTGTGTGGTAAGCCCTAAACCCTAAACCCTAAACCGGGACCGCCGCGCAGATGGCATCCTGCATTCTTTTATGATGAGCCTGCACCCTGACCCAAGACTGGCGTGTCTAGGTAGGGTAATTCCTAATTCCGAAGGCCTCGGGTGCATTCCACTTTATGATCACTTAGGGCAGAACCATCAAATCTACAAGTGGTCGCAACAGCAGCATGTAACTGTCGGCTTCTCCGAACATACGTTCCGAGCCGAGCGCGCTCGGGTAGGCATTAGAGTCGGGCTTGGGGATACATGTGGTACATTGTAAAATGCACTTTTACAAGACAGTATATATATATATATATATATGTATACATATCTAAATATATACACATGTGTATACATACATAAGTATATATATATGTACTTTTATCGCATGCCAGAAGGACCACAGCACACTATGCCCTAAACCCTCAACCTAATTCAGACCTCGATGCTAGGTGCAACGGTGCCTCCCATACAGGTTCCTCGTGCCAGGTGCCGTCCTTCGAGCTGTCGATTAGAGACAATATAAAGAACTCATAATAAAGGACCCTAAAAAGGTAGGTTCTTGAGGGTCCAGGTAGGGTTTAGGGTCACAGCTGCGCCTCCTCCTAGAAAAACCGTGAAGGGCAGTGCTTGGAGGATCAGGGGGCGTAGGAGTCAGGTTATAAGGGTCCCTTTAAGGGGTCCATAGGGGTACTATAAGGGTTTAGGCTGTAGGGTATGGGGTATGGGACGGTACATAAGGTTGTAAGTACCACAACGGGAGTTATAGGTCATTATAACTGTACTGACCGTATTTATCATCTCAGCTAAAACGTCCCATGAACCTCCAGGTAGCAGCTGGGGACGTGGGCACTTAAAGATAGACTAAACGCCCTAAGGGTCTAAGTACCTGATAATCTTAGAATTATCCTCTCCCAAATAGCAACCTACATGACTACTATCCGAAGTCTAAACACCTGACTGTCGGGGTCCTTTGGACCCATGGGGAACCCTAAACCCGAAACCACGGTGTAGTCGCCTGTGGTCCCCTTTTCAACCACTGTGCTCCTGTAAAGGAGGGTAAAGCCAAAGGCCCTCAGTCCTGACACAATAGAAGAAAAGCCCCCAACACCTAATATAGGGGCCTTAATAAGTAGAACAGGGATTTGAGGTATATTATACCATATAGTTATAATAAGGAATTCCCAAAATCATGTAAGTATTTTTTAAACCCCTTATATTAGACCGTGCCTTTAAGGAATCATAAAAAAGGAACCTCAGAGAAGGGCAGGCTCTTTACGGTCTAAATATATCCTGAACCCTAGCCTTGTACTCTGGACCCTAAAGGGTTTGGGGGGTTTAGGCTTTAGGGTTTGTTTATACTATAATTATAATTTACACTATAATTGGGTTTTAGGGTTTAGGGCTTAGGGTTATAATAAGGAGCCCCCAAAACCCTATTTTATTTAAGGCCTCTACTTTCAACCTCCAGACCTTCCCACAAACCTGAACCCAGGTTGGTATGGCCCAGAATCCGTCCTGAAGCAGGGCCACCCCATCCCAAAAAGCTTAAAGAAAGCCTCTTCGGGTTCATTTCGTCCTTAAAGTAGGCTTAGGGATATAGACTCTCTCTCTAAGGTCCTTTTTAAGAGAGCCATAAGTAGGGTTAAGAAGGGTCGCCTATAAGGGGTCTCCCTAGTACGACCTAGGATTAAGGCTTTTGATTCCGTACTTGCGTGGCCTCTTCGATGGGCTCCGGAGGCTTCGAGACGCGGCGCTGTCGCATTCCTCGGTGCAGACTTCAGGATACTGTTTGGGGTTTGAGGTTTGGGGGTTTGGGATTTCGGGTTTAGTTTTGGGTTTCGCGTTTAGGGCATAGCCCTGATCCAAAGGCGGGTCGCATCGGTCGGGTCCATGCCACGCCAAAGTACCCGTAGTGCAGTCTGTGGTGGAGTATCGTGCCCTCACCGTTGCTTTAAACGAAATAGCAGGTTTTCTAAAATGGACTCCATCACCGGTACAATCTTTGACGCAACCTGCCCAGCGCGAACGTCACTCGTGATGTTTGCATTGATTTTCTCAAGGGTGGGCAAGCTTAAGGTATCAATCCAAGCGGACATGTTGATGGACTTCAGCTTCAAGGCATTCACGACTTCTGGCTTGTCCTCAGCATTGGCAACGGGCATGAAGAGCAAAGAGTAGTCATTGTTGTCATCTCCACGGGAACGCTTGCCAGCGCCACCGACGCCAGAGACGACCAAAGACGCCGAGGAACCATCAACAACACCCCTAAATCCTAAACCCTAAACCCTAAACCTGCGCCCTTGATGGTCTGGCGAGGGTGAAGTGACAAATCCTTCAATCCTTCTCCCCGAGCATCAAGCGACACGGTTTAGGGTTTAGGGTTTAGGGTTCACTTCTTGCTGTCCTTCTTGGCGGCACCCATCACCTTGCCCGACATCATTCCGCCAGGGTGCAAAGGGGTCCATAAGTTTCAGCTGAGGGCTTCGAGGACTCAAACAAGGACTTGTGGGCTTCGATATCCCCTAAACCCTACAACCCAAACCCATGTCTATCTGAACCATTATAAGCAAGAAGCCTGAAAGTTACTCCCCGCCGCTTGGTATTCCAGGAACACTCGGTAGAGTTGGGGACCGTTTAGCTGTTTAGCGTTGAAGTTTGAGGGGTTACCATACTGAACTTAGACCCCCAGCAACAATTATAATTTCAGCTGATTCTTACGGTTTATAGTAGCCAAAGATTAAAAACTATTTCTAAGTACCCCTAAGGTTAAGGTTTAGGAGCTCTCCTTGGCATCACTGTCAAGGATGCGGCATCCCGAAACCCTAAACACTAAACCCTAAACGCAGATGTCGGGATACCCTGTCTCCTAAAGGATCGCAGGACTTCGCATGCAGCTGATAGTTGTAGCTCGGGGAGGCGCCAGAGACCCTGCGTTTTGAAATAGGCAGGAGCTCTATACCCTTATGCTGTGACTCTCCGGGTGTAGGGTTAGGGTAAGGGTTTAGGGTTTAGGGGTTAGGGTTTTGGATCTCCAGACTCTTTAGTAAGTCAACCTTTAACCGTAACGCTTTTTTTTAAATAAACCCCGAGTGCGACGCCGCTAAACCCCCACACCCTCGACCCCTCAGCCCTAGACCATGAACACAGCAAACCCGAAGCCTAAAGCACTACATCCTAACCTGGATTCGAAGCGGTAATTACAAGCGAAGCAGCTTTAAAGCTGAGAGCCATAAACCCTAAGTCCCACAAACTCCCAAATTCCCTAAACCCCTAAACCCCCACAAACTACCTAACTTCCTAAACCCCAAACCCCTGAACCCTAAATCCTGTGTTCCCTGAAGACTTTGAACCCAAAAGTGGGCAATGTCGGGGCCTTAATAATTCGAATAGGGTTTTGGGGTATATTCTACTGTAGCTATAATAATAATCCCCCCAGAACCCTATTCTAATGAATAAGGCCCCTATAGTATGGCTCATGGTCTTGGAGCCTGAAAGGCACCCAAGCTGAAACCCTAAACCCTAAACCCCAGGGTTGAGGGTTTAGAGTCCCCTACGCCCTAAACCCCAAGCCTCCACACCCAGCCTCGAAATCCGAAGCCCTACGACCTCAAAACCACTCGAAAGCCCGGTTTCAGGTTCACGGTTTAAGGTTCAGGGTTTTGGGTTTAAGGTTTAGGGTTTAGGACTTCAGGTTTAGGGTTTGATAGGTTTTCAAGCCCTGCACAAAACCGCCGACCCCAACACAAAGCCCCTACATGATACTATAGAAGCCCACATATTGCCGACATTATTCCGTAGGGCTCCTTGTCACAAATGTACTATAAAGGAGTCCAAAACCCCGTTCGAATTATCAAGGTCTAAACCCTAAACCCGAAAAGCTAAACATTCCTAAACCATAAACCCTATAGACCCTAAACTAAACCTTATAAGGCCCCGACATTAAACCCTCTAAACCCATTAAACCTGATAAGCCCTAACAGGCCCTTCCTTTAACACCCGAAGCCCGGTGAGTAAACAGCCCAAAGAGCCGCTGGGCGCATCCAGATATGCGGAGAGCTCCTTGGGATTTGCAAACCCAAGGGCTCCTAGGTACCTAAACTTAGGGTTTAGGGTTTAGGGGTTTAGGGTTTCGGGCTTTAGGGGTTTAGGGGTTTAGGGTTCAGGGTTTAGGGCTTTAGGGTTTAGGGTTTAGTGGTTAGGGTTTTAGGGTTTGGGGTTTAGGGGTTTAGTGGTTAGGGTTTTAGGGTTTAGGGTTTAGGGGTTTAGGGATTTTAGGGTTTTAGGGTTTAGGGTTTAGGGTTTAGGATCCTCAGGACCTGTATGGGGGGGATACCTCTCCGAACCACGGTTAGTCGTGATTTTCCATCGAACATCCTGCTTTCCACTCTAAACCCTCAACCCTAAACCCTACACCCTAGAACCTAAAACCCTAAAACCCCAAACCCTAAAACCCTAAACCCTAAACCCTAAACCCTAAAACCCCAAACCCTAAAAACCCTAAACCCTATACCCTAAACCACTTAGCAGCCTTTGAGAGGCACTACCTAAAGAGACACCCTCCCTGAATCTTTAACTTTTAGGGGCTGAGTACCCTAGCCCAAAGAACGTTGACCTTTTATATTATAGTAGGATTATATAAGCCCCAAAGGGTTAAAGGTTATCTACTCAGCCCCTAACTCAGCCCCCAAGTAACTTTTAGGATGGTTGAGGCGAGAGAGACTGGGGAAACCAGAAGCTCTCCCTAAACGGCGATTTCTTGAATTGGGGGGGTGTAGGATTCAGGGTTTAGGCGAGTTGTTGATTTGGGGGGGGTTACTTGTGATATGTCATGCTAGACCATGTAAGCTCCATGTTAGGGCCTTTTTCGTTTCCGGAAGTCCCAAACGGGACTCGCAAAATCGACCTTGAAGTCTTTGCCGGCGTATCTTACCAAAACAGCCGGCAAGAGTCAATGGTGTCAGCGGGC